TATGATGTGTGTGTGTGAATATAAGTTCTCTTTAGCTGGTATCCTTTTCTTGCTCCTCTCCGCTTCTTCTTCTCCTTTCCCTTCCGCCCCCATCTTTCTTCTCTGTTCTCTTTTTCTTGCCAGTTGCCACTCACTTTTTCTTTTAATCCCCTCTACCCACTTCTCTGAACTAATCAAGGTCTTGCCTGAAAAAAGAAGTAGTTGCTGTCAGCTTTGCTTTGCTGCTTGGCAGTAATAGGAGTTCAGAGAACATAGATACTACTGGACCTGCTGATTGTTCTTTGATTATCTGTTGAATGGAGGCATTGCTCCTTAGAAGCCCAGATCCTTGCTAACTCACTAATTTAGGGTACGTCTACACTGCACAGCTCGGAGGTATCCCAAAATAGCTACCCTGTGTCTACACAAGCTAAATATTTTTTCAAAATAATGGGCGTGCTATTTCAGCATCCTGGTAACTCTTGATCCATGAGGGTTAAGGGATGTCTCCAAATAGTACGTTATTTTGAAATTTGGCTCTGTGTAGATGCGCCAAATTTCAAAATAAGCTAATATGAAATAGATTTATGATGCATAGTGCAAATTGTGTATCTTATTTCGAGTTTAGGGGGCTGTGTAGACACTCCTTAAGAAAACGATATGGAGAAACAAGGTAAAGGGGAACTTCACAAATATGGGAGAAGGAATGAAGCCAGAGGAAGAAGAAAGAGGCAAAGCAAGTGAGCAGTAAAGAGGAAGAAGTTAAAGAGGAGCAAAGGAGAAAGCATGAAGCAAGAGAAGGAATAAGACCAGGAAGCAAGGAGAAAAAAGGAAGAAGAAAGGGAAAGCAACAGGAGAAAAAGAAAGAAATCAAGTATCAAAAGAAGAAAGAGACCAATAGGAGTAAGGAAGGGAACACAGGAAAAGAAGTTAAATGGAGGAGAGGGAGAAAGCAGGAGGAAGAAAGGAAGTAACCACTTATTGGGCATTAAGATCTAGGTGGGAATATACTGCAGCAACTCATCCACTGTGCTGATAGATGTTGAAAACAAATAGGGCTCGTCTACAAAGTAGGAATAAGAGCCTCCGGAAAAGGGCGCTTTTTCCGGAGGATCGGGGCCAGTGTAGATGCTCTTTTCCGGCTTTTTTAAAAAAAGCGGCGGACATTTTTATTTAAATGCCGCGGGGGATATTTAAATCCCCCGCGGATTTCCCTACTACGATAGGTGAAATTAACATGCCCCTTCCAGAAAAGGGGCCAGTGTAGACGTAGCCAGACAGTGGGTGTTGGGAAGATAAATACTAGTTACACCCTTAATTATGACATGTATATTTTTGCTCTGCAGAATTGGACAAGATTTCCTGGCACTTAGCTAGCTAAGTTGTAGATCCTTAGAAATACAATAATGCTAATACAAAACTGTAGTTTTTCATAATGTTCCCAGAGGAGTGACAGATCTGAGTTGATTGTATTTAATCTGCTCAAAGGGCTGGTAGTGGAAAAATGGTTAGGTGGTTAACATGCTAGCATAGAAGTCAGGGGATCCAGATTTTATCTCTTGCATCACGAGACACGTTGGGCAAGTCATTTAGCCTCTCTTGCCCCAGTTCCCATTTGTAAAATAGGGACAATAGCAATTCCTGATCCACAAGTGAGAATAACAACATGAAAGACTATCTACATTTTTTGTTAGTCTGGTCTCTTAGGTCCTGAAGGACCATTTGTTATTTTTTATGAGGTTCTCAGATACTATAATAATCGAGTAGCATAAATATCTTATATTAATACTGTTTTCAGTTGTCTAAAACTTTGCCACATTTTAAGAGTCTGGACTAAAATTTTATATGACAAGAATCTGCCACTGACAATTATTTTGAAGTTTGTCAAAAAGGTTAGCCCTTTTCCAAGAAAGAGGCAAGGAAAAATAAATTTTAACGTTTACATTTTTTCGGCAACCCTTCCTTTGCTTGTGCTTTAGAGTAGAGACTTGAAATTTGATTGTGGACAAAGCACTTTGTCTGGGAGGTGCCTTTTTACATACACCAGGAAAATTCATCCAAAATTTGCCAAGCTGTAAGTCTTTGAAAAAAATCACAGCTTGCATGTTCAACCAAAAATTCTTAGTTTAGCAAAGAAAATTTCCACAATTCTGTTCTCACTGAACATGAGTCCAATATGTTTACTGGGATTAGTTGGAAAAGGAGATTAGGATGAGAATTCTAATAAGAGGAGACTAGGACTGAGTAGGCAAGAAGAAGGAGACTGAGATAAGGAGTCATGGTGGGGAAAAGACAGAAGACGGGGACAGGACGGAGAGGACAATACAAAAGGGGTCAAGCCTGTGAGGAATGGGCAGACGAACCTTTGTCCAGAAGGACGCACTCCCCTCCAGAGGTTGAAATGGAAAGCTCATTCTTATCATTCCTCCACCACCAAATATCTGTGAAACCCACTAGCAAAGGGTGTGTCACAATCCCTTTTAGTACTAGTCCAGACAGAGGATATCAACTTGCTATTGTTATGAATTATTCCGTTAGTTCAAGTGGGAGAGTACGCAAAGTGGATTTCTAGGTTTCAAATCAGCTGGTGAACTATATGGGTATCAGCATGGTGCACACATGACAGAAGTTCTGGTTTTTAATTTTATTTAAACGAAAGAAATTATACAAAAACTATGTTAAAAGAACATTGTTACTTTTGTAAAGTCAAGCAGTCAAGTTAGGAAATGCCAGAAATGAAGTTATATTCCCCCCCCCCCCCCCACCCCACCACACCACATAG